TGTTTTTCACCTGTGATCAGAAAATATTAATACTTAGCTACTAATGTAGGTGACAGTATCTGTTCTTTATTTTTCTGTTTACTTTTACTCTACATTTCCTATATATTTTAATAATATGACAACAGCTTCAAAACAAAACAAAAAAAATGGAAAATCAAGAAGGGAATATGTCAGTTGGAAAACAAACGATTCCAACATGGATGAAGGCAGGAGGCTGAGAAATGCTGCAGATGCACTGGAAAAAAAAATCATTTTTTCTTAAAATAAGTGCATTTGTTCTTGGATTAAGGACATTTGCCAATGGAACAAGACAATTTACATTTTAAATAAGAAAACACAATTGCATTGTCTTATTTCAAGTGCATGTTATCTAATTATCTTATTTTAAGAGTAAAAATAAAACTTTACCTGCTCAAATTAAAGATAAATACACTTATTTTAAGACATTTTTACTTATTTCTAGATTTTTTTTTCCCAGTGTGATGGAGCTGATTCTGAGATCCAAAACATCCTCATCCATTCTCCCTTAGCAGATTTTAAATGTACTCGTTGATCATGTTTTAAGATCTATTTTCATTTTAATTCAGTTTCAACCAGAAATCTTAAGTATTTGGTTGCTAGTGCAGGTTTTCTGTTCAGTTTAATCTAAACTATCCTCCCTGAAAGGTTAATTAGCGGGGTCAGTATTTTTTTCTTTTTGTTTTCTCCAGCAATTTGGTAAGAAAACAGGGAAATTTACTTATTTTTGAAAATATAAAGAAAACATCAATCTTAAAATACTAAAGATAAATAAAAATAAAAAAAATAAAGGAATGTTTAAAACATTTTTTCAGAGTTGCCTTTCTGAAATGTATACATATAGGCCGACTGGGGTTCAAGGAGACAGAAGCAGAGATACAGAGAGATAGAAAAGGTAACTGCACTGCAAAAACGATCTAGAAAAATGTAAAATATTACTTAAATTAAGCGTATTTACCCTTAATTTGAGTAGGTAAATGAGGTAGTTTGCCAATGCAATGAGTACTTTTACTATTAAAATAAGATAATTAGATAATATTCACTTTAAATAAGACAAGGCAATTGTATTTTCTTATTTTAAGTGTAAATTGTCTTGTTCCATTGGCAAAATGTCTCTTTTATGTCCTCAATCCAAGAACAAATGCATTTATTATAAGAATAAATAACTTATCTAGATTTCGATTTTTTTCCAGTGTGTTAACCAGCTCCACAGGCGGCCCCGTCCAGGAAACACACAGCCAGGCAGAGGAGCAGCCAGCTCCTATGTCAGAGAATGAAGAGAGCACACTTGGCAAAACCAATCTAGAAATAATAAAAAGAAAATCTAAAACTACATGTATTTATCCTTAATTTAAGTGCTTAAATACAATGATTTGCTTATGGAATTGCTATATTTACTCTTAAAATAAGATAATTCGATAGTATTCACTTGAATTAAGAATTTGAAGAAAAGATTAATTTAGATTTACATTTTTTTGCAGTGTACTGTGCAATTAGGCACAGAGAAACAGGACTACACCTAAAAACAGGCCAAGCTCCAACATCCTCAAACAAAGGTGCTGATGGCAGCAGCACAGCTGATATTTCTCTCCAGGATGGAGTCACAGCCAACAGACCAGGAACAGACCAGATGAAGCTACTATGAGAAAAAGCAGAGAGAGCATAAAGTTAGGGATTGAATCATCAATGGAAGAATAGAGATAGAATGAAGCAGAATGATGAAAAGTGGTCCCTATGTCCTCCAGCAGTCTAAGCCTATAGCAGCGTAACTATAGAATTGTGACGTTTAGTTGAGCTTAATGATGTATTGCTGTGTTTAAAATGCATTCTGTGTATAAAAGTGACTAAAATGGAAAAATTTGTGCAACAATTTCTATTTCCAGACTCAGAAACATCTTCAGACTCTAATCCAAACTGAAGCGATAGAAAGTTAATTTAATCAGTTTCCCTTCACACAAAACTGAGCAAGA